ACTGAATTTTCTCTTTTGTTGTCAAAGTGGTTTATACCTAAAGTGATCGTACATCCTTTAGAATAAACACAAATACTAATCGGCCAAACGATTCTCAAGTCTGTGGCTTTAATGCTCAGTGACACCAAAACGTACACAAAACATGGCTATGTCACTAACTCCCTTCAGAAATTTCCGCTCTCTTGTTTGCATCTTCTGCTGCTGGAAACTCTAACTTTCCTTCCAGGAAGCCTGTCATCTGTTTGGTGTTTGCATTCCCATGTCACACTTTAAATGGATATTAACTTGTCTGTCTTCCTTGGCTGGAAGGCAAACACTGCCTCGTACTTGGCTCCCTATCGCTATTACAGCATACCTCGAAGATATGGCCGGTTCGGTTCCAAACCGCTGTAATGAAGCAACATCACAATAAAGAAGTTTGTAATCTTTTCTGCTGGTGGCAGGACTTGCCTCCAATTTGTAAAAACTAAAAAACAAAAACAAAACACAATAGCCCTTGCTGGGCAGCTCAGTTAAATCAGAGCATCTTCCTGTACACCAGAAGGTGGTGGGTTCGATTCCAGGTCAGGGTGCATGTCTAGGTTGTGGGTTCCATCCCTAGTTGAGACTGTATGGGAAACAACTGACCAGTGTTTCTCTCTCTGTCTCTCTCTCTCTCTATCTCTCCCTCCCTCCCTCCCTCCCTCCTCTCTCCTCTCTCCTCTATCTCTGTCTCTCTCTCTCAAATCAATAAATAGCACAATAAAACGAGGCATGTCTGGCACATAATAGGCACCTGATACTATTTGTGGGAAGGAGGGAAGGATTTTTGAAAAGCTCAGTCTGTTGAGGAGTTGGTGTAGCTGAGGTAGAATTAGGAGTAAGTGGCATAAGACAGGGACGCCTCAGTCACTGAGGAGGAGAGCTGCCAGTGAAAGTGGTCGAGAACCTCCCGTCCTGCATGGCGCCAGTGAATCAGGTTAAAAACCTAGAGCTGGATCAGAGTGCTTTTTTTTAACTTTTCTCCGGGTGATGTAAGTAATGCATGTTCACTGTAGAAAACTTCCAAGAGTACAGAGAACAAACACCACCTATAATTCTTAACGTTTGATAACGTCTTTTTTCTTAGTTAAGTTTTAGTCTTTTAGTTAACTCTTAGCCTTTTTTCTTTACGATTAGATGGAAAAGTTTAAGACGTTTCATGACAGCTTGTGAGTACAAAGAGGATAAAGTACCATTGGAAAAATACTTGTCACGTGCAATACAAATCTGAGATACTGTTTTTGTTGTTGTTAATCTGGGCAGTGAGCTCCACAGAAAGCCTTTCCTAATCTTCTGGTGAGTGTGATCTCTCACCTAGAAAGTTCCTTGGGCGCTTGTCTTGTCTCCCCACCTCATCTTCCCCCCGGCTCCCGCACTGATTTGTGGGAATGCTGTACCTTCCTAGGATGAGGCCAGGCTCCAACCTCTGAAGGCCAGTTCAAGGTGGACTTGAATAAGAATTTATATGGATCATGGATTTCCCCCAACCTGTGAAATATCACTCAGGCGATAGCACCTTTGAAAGAAAGCAAGGGCATTTACTAGTTTAGTCCTTTGTTTAATAGACATACTGACTACTTTCTGTGCGTTAGTCACTGAGCGCAGCATCAGAGCCTCAAAATGAACAGACAGTGCTTGTCCGCGGGGAACGTGCAGTTTATTTTTTAATTAATTAATTTATTTATTTAATATATTTTATTGATTTTGTACAGAGAGGAAGGGTGAGAGATAGAAAGCTAGAAACATCGATGAAAGAGCGTCATCGATCAGCTGCCTCTTGCACACCCCCTAACGGGGATGTGCCTGCAACCAAGGTACATGCCCTTGACCGGAATCGAACCCGGGACCCTTCAGTCCCCAAGTCGACGCTCTATCCATGGAGCCAAACCGGTTTCGGCGGAACTTGCAGTTTAATGAGAGAAAAAGAAGTAAACAAGGATTATAGCACAATATAATAATGCCACAATAGCAGCTCAGTGAGGGCCTAACGAAGAGAATGTGCAGAATTGATCAGAGGAGGCTTCAAATGAGGGATGATTGAGTTGGGTCATATTGGAAATGTGGGTGGTGGTGGTGTTTTCCATGCAAACAGAACATTATGTCCCACGTAGAAAATATGAGGCACATATCTCTGGAGGAAACGGAAGTCGTTTGGCATATCTAGAACATTAAGTATATTAGAGACAGCAAATGAGGCAAGGTGGGAAGAACTTGAATGTTAGAGCTTGGACTTTCTGTCTAGGACAGTGGTCGGCAAACTCATTAGTCAGCAGAGCCAAATGCCAACAGTACGACGACTGAAATTTCTTTTGAGAGCCAAATCTTTTAAACTTAAACTTCTAATCCCACTTCTTCAAAATACACTCCCCCAGGCCGTAGTATTTTGTGGAAGAGCCACACTCAAGGGGCCAAAGAGCCGCATGTGACTCGCGAGCCGCAGTTTGCCGTCCACGGGCATAGGCTATGGGGAACCACCGAAGCATTTTAATCCAAAGCAAAGGCACAGTCAGGGATACCTTTTAGAAAAGTCATGCATCAGTACAAAGGCTGATGGAAGTGGGCTAAGCTGAAGGTAGGTGAGTGGTTAGGAGGCTATCAGAACAGTCCCAGGAAAAATAGGCAGATGTCTAGAAACAGATCTATTGAGACAGGAAGAAAATGAGTGGTTGCTTGAAGGGGGGGGGGGGGGGGGGCGTGACTGTAAATGGGCCCAGGGAGCTCTTTAGAGGGAAAGAAATGTTCCCGGTCTTCATGTGGTGGTGGTTGCACAGTTCTGGAAATTTTCTAAAAATCATTGAATTATACCCTTAAAAGGAGTGAATATTAGAATGTGTAAATTATACCTCAATAAAACTCAGAGCGATGGTGGGGGGAGAGTCAAGGGCTTCTTTTCTGAAACAGCAATAGCGTTAAGAGGAGACAGATGTGAGAAACACTGTTAAAGAAGTAGAATTTGGGCCGAAACCAGTTTGGCTCATTAGATAGAGCATCGGTCTGCGGACTGAAAGGTCCCAGGTTCGATTCCGGTCAGGGGCATGTACCCAGTAGGGAGTGTTGCAAGAGGCAGCTGGTCGATGTTTCTCTCTCATTGACGTTTCTAGCTCTCTATCTCTCTCCCTTCCTCTCTGTAAAAAAATCAATAAAATACATTTAAAGAAAAAAAAAAGAAGTAGAATTTGTAAGCGTTAGATGTTGACTGTATCCATATGATGGTCACTTATATGTTCTGCTAAGTGTCCTCATTGTGCTTCTACAGTTTTGTAAAAAGATGTGGGTTTCAAAGCATATGGACCTGCCTTTAACTAGCAATACAGGATATCTGCCTCTGGGTTCATATAAAAGTCAGACCCTCTAGTTCTCTGCCACCCACTTCCTCATAAGCACTTGGTTGTGAGCGGGGGAGAGGGCGAGTGTGAAAGACTGCCTGAAGGACATATGGTCCATTCATTTCTCTGGGATCGTTCTTCAGTGGTAGTTACTGAGTGCCAGATCTTACCCTGGTAATGGAACAGTGAAAAAGCAAATACAGTGTCTGTCTTCATGGGGCGTATGGTCTAGCAGTGGGGATAGACGTTATTGACAGTGATGGTAACTATCGTGTCGTATTTCCACGTGCACTAGGAGAACATGGCCTGCTAGTTGAGATCTGAAGAACAATGCTGGGGTGGGGTGTGGCTACAGACACCGACCCTGTATCCATTCAACTCCATTCTTTTGTAGGGAGTGAACCCTTTGAGTGTGATTTCTTTTAAGTCTGGAGTCTCCGGGTTTTCCTGGGCCTTAAATGATCTTGGTGTCCCTTATAATTGTTTTTATTGAGCTGTACACTGGCTTTATGCCATCGTTTCTGTTGGTTCGCGTTCTGAGAAACAGCCATTCAGGAGTCACAATGACTTATTATTATAGGAATGCCATAAAAGACACAGCCTTTGACATCATGTTTCATCTCCCGTTGTGAAGGCCCCGAAGAGAAACTTCTTTCTGATCGCTGTAGAGTATTTGCTTTTATGTTTGGGTCGTTAGTTGCTCTGAAGCACCCTGTTACATCTGCTCCGGTTCTCCCCCGGGAACATTCTCTCAGCCCGGAGCGCCCCGTTCCATTCTTGGTAGGTTTAACCCTTCCTTCTCCCTCAGCTGTTCGTTCAGGTGTCACTTCTTTCTAACCAGCATCCATTCTCCTCCTAAACAGAAACGTTCACAGCACTCGTTCTCTTTTTACTCAGTTCGTTTTCAGTTGAGTGATTGGTTGTTTGGTAACTTTTTCTCTCCAGACTGATGGCAGGTAGATCCATGAGGGTAGAGACTGCGCTTCTTCTGCTTGTATCTCTAACTGTGGTACCTCACACATAGTAGATGCCCAATAAACACTTCCTGAACAGTTGAATGAATGACTGACTGTGGGCACTGAATCTTGTAAGTGTTCGTATTCTCCTTTGGCTGTCTGGGAGCGCAAGCCTCCTTGATTTTAGCTAAAGGGTTTGTATGGGTCCTCATGGCATGCATTTTGTGCACTAACATTTCCCGATTATTTAATGTTTCTCCTTTCTTTGACCTCATTTTTTAAATTCCATTGTGTGCTATAAATTCCCATGGGCCACTTTAAGCCTTTAGGAGAAAAGAAATAATAAACAATTGGAAAAGAAAGGGAGAATTCACAGGGAAATGTTAAGTGTCTAATTAGATGCAGGCGGGAAGTTTTCTTTTGCTTTTTGAAATTTTATTTTCACTGTGAAAATGCCTCAGAAGAACCCGAGGCCTCTCTCTGCCCTGAGACGTCCCTCCCTGCGGCAGGAGGCTCGGGGCTGGGCCCAGCGGGGCCTCGGGGCCTGGCGAGCGGGTGGGCACCGCAGAGGCTGTCTGTGCCGCTGAATTCCGCTCCAGCTGGTTCTCCCTGGGGGGGGGTTCGGGCAGAGCCCGTGGGAGCTTGCTTTCTGACTGTGAGAAGGAGAAAGAAATGAACTTGTCCTCTTGTGTTGCAGATTCAGTGGTTCTATCCTTTGACTCCGCTGGACACACTCTAGGCTCAGGTACCAGTTCCTTCCTTCTGTCGCCCTTTCAGCTCTGAGCACTGGCCACGTTTGAGGGGGAGCCTCAGGGGGCGGGGGCCGTCTGGGGGCGGGCAGGGGAGCACCTCAGAATTGTGGGGAACTCTCAAGGAGCCTTTCTAAGGAGTCAGGGCCTGGGAAGCAGAGGGGATGCCACACCCAGAAGACTTTGCTAGTAGCTTTAAAGTGTGCACTGCAGAGCTTGTAGGAGAGGCTCTTTCCTCACTCAGAGTGGGCCCGTTTTTTTTTTTTTTTTAATATATATATTTTATTGATTTTTTACGGAGAGGAAGTAAGAGGGATAGAGAGTTAGAAACATCGATGAGAGAGAAGCATCGACCAGCTGCCTCCTGCACCCCCCCTCCCCCCCCACTGGGGATGTGCCTGCAACCAATGCACATGCACTTGACCGGAATCGAACCTGGGACCTTTCAGTCCACAGACCGACACTCTATCCACTGAGCCAAACTGGTTTTGGCACGAGTGGTCCAGTGTTAAACACGGGTATGATTTCTGTCACGGAGAGCGGAGCAGAGGGCGCAGAGAGGTGCCAGGCTCTGGGTACGCCGGAGTAGCTAACCACCAGGCTTCCAGCAGAACGCCAGGCCGGTGAGGGCATCCCAGCTTCCTGAGGACACACGCCTCACTGCACACCCCCACGCACACCCTCCGGGAGGTGCGCTCTGGCGTGCACCTTTCTTTACTTGCGCTTGTGCCAAAACTCAGGCCGGCCGCACGCTCCCGCTCTTCCCTGAGTCTGCCGGGCAGGACACACAGGTTGGCACACCGGCCCCTGTTACACAGTCACCAGGCATGACCGTGCTGCTGGCAGTGGTTCTTCAGCTTGCTGCCCTGGGATCCCCGTGGGAGCCCCGGGATGACGTTCCTTTGTCAGAAAAGCATCTCCGCATTAAGTCCGTGTGTAGTTGAAGATGGTGGTGGGTGCTGCCTTGCAAACAACAGTGTTACTTTGCCGGCCTACTGAGAACAGTTCAGCCTTGGATGCAATAGATACGTGTTTCACAAAGCAGCCACCAGGCTCAGGCAGTTGTGGCGGAGAATGTGGTCACAGCTGCCGCTGTTCACTGAGGACCCCCTGTGAGCCCACAGTGTGCTGAATGCTTCACACACATCTTGCAAGGTAGACAACACATCTTTAGTTATAGATAAACTGATGCTTAAAGAGTGAAGCAGTCTGTCCGGCTCTGGAGCCTATACTCTCTCCTTTGCCATTTTTTTTTTAAACAAGTTTTTATTGATTTTAGGAAAGGGAAAGAGAGAGGGATAGAGAGATAGAAACATTGATGAGAGAGAAACATAATCAGTTGGCTGCCTCCTGCACGTCTTCTACTGGGGCCCGGCTGGGAATCGAACCAGTGAGCTCGTGGTTCATGGGTTGATGCTCAACCACTGAGCCACGCTGGCCAGGCTCTCCTTTGCCATCTTGCAGTCTCATGCCTGATATGCTTGAGGTGTCCACGATCAAAATGTCGAGACAGGTGAAGTCACTTTAAGACAAAGTGGGCAGATAATGGTTTTATTCACATAGGAAATAGTAATCAATTTTATTACATTCAAGTTAAGAACTTCTGTTTAGCCGAAACCGGTTTGGCTCAATGGATAGAGCATCGGCTTGGGGACTGAAGGGTCCCGGGTTCGATTTCGGTCAAGGGCATGTACCTTGGTTGCGGGCATATCCCCAGTAGGGGATGTGCAAGAGGCAGCTGATCGATGACTCTCTCTCATCGATGTTTCTAACTCTCTATCTCTCTCCCTTCCTCTCTGTACAAAATCAATAAAATATATTAAAGAAAAAAAAAAAAGAACTGTTAATTGGAAGATCCATGAAGAGTGAAAAGGCAATCTAGAGTGAAAAGAGATATTTACAGCACCAATAACCAATCCAGGGCTTGTTTCCAGAATAAAGAACTACAAAAATCAATAGGAATAAAGAAAGAATGCAGTATAGAAACAAGCAAAAGAACGAATAGGCACTTCACAAAAGTGGAAATCCAATGGCCAATAGGCCTATGGAAAGGTATTTGATTGAGTCAGTATGTAGGGGAATGCAAATTAGAATTATAGTGAGATACTATGACACATATACCAAAATGGCAAAGCTTGAAAGGCTTGATGTTTCAGTGTTGGTGACGATGTGGTACAGTGGAAACCAAGTTTCTACTGGAAACTGAGGTCAGAGGATAAATTGGTTACAACCGCTCGGGAAAAGACCAGCTAAATTTGAATATACCCCGTGACTTGGCAGTTTCTCCCCTAGATATGTTGCCTGCATGAATGATGCTTATATCCACACCAGGGCATATGGTCAAGATACATGTACGAGTATAAGAATCTGTCTCTGTCATTGAATGCAGCTACAGGCCTGGACATAAAGCATTTAGCAGCTATTTGAGGACTCTCAAGTATAAATAGTAGCAGATAGATTAGGGGGAAAGACACTGGCAGTGAGTTTCTCATTTTTCTTCTGGGTCCCATGTCATGGACTTGAGAAAGCCCAGCACCCCGCAGTGGACACCAGGGCACAGAGAGAATTCCGGAAGACCTCTGGCTGTGACTGTGGGGCAAGAAAGGGGCTCTAAGGCTTGAACAGAGGAGGAAATCCGAGGTTTTTTGTTTTTTAAATATATATGTTTTTATTGCTTTCAGAGAGGAAAGGAGAGGGAGAGAGAGAGAAACATCAATGATGAGAGAGAGAATCATTGACCAGCTGCCTTCTGCATGCCTCCCACTGGGGATCAAGCCTGCAACCAGGCATGTGCCCTGACCCAGGATCAAATCCTCACCTCCTGGTTCACTGAACCACACCAGCCGGGCCTAAGGTTGTTTTTTGCTCTGTTCTCTCAGGCCTGGTTCCCAGGCAGTCCCACGGTGGTGTGGAAGTGCCCGTGGCAGCCATGGGGCCTTCAAGCATCTAAAACAGGGAGGGAAACTTTCTCTATACTTAAAGGAGCTGTAACCTTAAGAGGGTGACATGAAATCTGATTGCTCTTTCTCTCTCTGCCTTCTTGCTGCCTGCCCCAGATTTGGGTATAATTCAGGAAACAGGTGGCAGAATATGGTAACGAAAATCCCAGCTTTCTTGCCAGAGGGGAAGGGGAAGCCCAATAAATTGGAAGGTACAGGAGGAAACAGAGGGAGGATATCAGGAAAGTGACTCCAGGAAGCTGTTGGTGAACTTTCAGGCTCACCCCTGAGCTGTGCATGTGATTCTAAAGAGGCATTTGATTCTAACCAACCTGACAAAGACCTCGAGACCTGAACTTAGGAAGAGGCCACGGCCTGAGTCCCAGAGTGGACCAAAGGCTGGTGGTGCATACGGAAGCTGCACCTGAACAGGTTTTGAAAATGGAACTGATATTGAAACCACAACCCACAGAAGGCTGGTCAGAACTTGCCACCTAAATCCAACCTGGTTGGTTGATAATCTGGTAAAACAAAAAACAACATTCCCCACTAGATTTAAATAAGAACTAAAGTTGCATAACGTAATATTCAAAATATCAAAAGTTAATCATCCTATGAAGAACCAGGAAAATCTCAACTTGCATGGGAAAGACAATCAAGAGATGCCAATGCTGAAATGATACAGATGTTGGAATAAGCCAACAAAAACTTTAAAGTAGCTATTATAAAAATGCTCCCAAAACTAAGGGCAAACACTGTTAAGATGAATGGAAAAGTATAGTGTTAGCCAGAAAAGAAAAAAAAGAACCAAATAGAGATAGGAAAAAAATACAATAACCAAAATTTAAAAAATTCAACTGAATAGGCTCAATAACAAAATGGAGATGACAGAGGAAAGTATCAGTGAACTTGAAAATAAAGCAATAGAAATAACCAATCTGAACAACAACAGCAGCAAAAAGATTTAAAAAGTCGGACAGAGCCTTAGTGACTTGTGGAACAATATCAGAAGGTTTCCCATCTGTGTCATTGGACTCCCCAAAATAAAGAGTGCCGTACAGAAGAAATATTTGGTGAAATAATGGCTAGAAACTTCCCACATTTGTTGCCCAAGTGGGGCTTATCCTGGGAATGAAAGGTTTAACATTAAAAAAAGAAAAATCAGTCAATGTAATCTAACATATTAACTGTCAGAACAAAAACAAATGGTCATGTCGATTGGTGAAGAAAAAGCATCTGACAAACATATACTTAAAAACAAACACACACACATGAAAAACTCTCAGCAAGCATAGGAAGGAACTTCTTCAACCTGCTGTAGGGCATCTACAAAAAGCCTACAGCAAGCATCATGCTTAATGGAAGTCCTCACCAGTAAAATAAATGAAAAGAATACATTATTGGAAAGAAAGAAATAACATTAGCCCTCCTCCTGGGTGACATGATTGTTTACATAGACAATCCCAAGGAATCTTAACAAAAAAAGCACCACCCATCAACCTCCTACAGCTAATAACTGAGTTTAGCAAGATGACAGGATACAAAGCCCAAACACAAAAAAATTAATTGTATTTCTATATACTAGCGATGAACAATTAAAAATTGAAAATTAAAATTTTTTTTTTAAAGTATCCCCCCAAACCAGAATACTTATGTATGAATCTAATGAATTGTGTAATATCTGTAGGTTGACACTTGTTCCTTCCCCATTTTTTCTTCCTTATTTACTCAACTCTTGAAGCCACGACCTAGGAGTCTCCTGGTGACTCCTCTTCCTCACCCCTTTCTGCTTTTTAACATCTTCACAGGGTGTCCTTGAGCAGCCTTTCTTTCTGGCAGCCCTGTCCAGGTTACCGTCCTCTCTCCCTTAGACAGGTGAACATTCTAACTGGTTGGTCTCTCTGTGTTCATTTGTTGCCTCCCAGCAGTCCATTCTCCACGTTGTAGCCAGAGTGATCATTTAAAAATGTAAATCAAATCATATCCTGTTCACACTGAGATCTCTCCAGGGACTCCGCGGTTCCTTTCCAATAAATCCAAACTCTGTGGCCTGCAGG